TTTCTGATGATAACTGATACTCAACGGAGAGAAATTCCTAAGGAGTTTCATTCTGAACAGCACAGAGATCCTCGAAAAGTTTATCCAAGCTGCTGAGCACAATGCTCATGATTCACTGATCTCAGTAAGTATGTCCTCTTTGTTCTATTTCTTTGGTCTTAGTCATAGTTTCCCAATGCACAAAGACTCATTGAAGCACCAAGAGTTCCTGGGTTTAAGATAGGAGATGAAGAAAAATGCAAGCCTCATCAAAAGTGAGGATCATATTTTATTTGAATAAAAAGGTCTACACATTCATAAATATATTCAGAAAGTCTCAGAACTGCTGAGGTTTTAGTAAAAAATGTAGCAAAATTCAATTATTTCTCCTGTTACTTTGAGCAAAATCATCACCAAAGTGATCTGTGAATAGGATTCCAGATATATTTGAATTTTTGCAACCAATCCAATTTAAGTGGCCAAAATATTAATACCACATGAGAAGCTAAAAGAATCGAACATTTAGATGTAACAAGTGAATTAAGAATCCAAAAATCTTACAAGAGTAAAACTGTCTTTTTTGTCACTTTTGCTCTTTCTTTAACCTTTTTGTGCTTAAGAAATTAAAAAAAATATTAACGAAAACTTTCAGGTTCGCATTGCTGCTTCATGGGCCTTAGCAAATATATGTGATTCTATTCGTCATTGTATCGATGCACAGCCTTTTCAGACAGATTCCATAGGTGAGCAAGTGTTGGAATCTTACATCTTTTTCTCCACTAATGTTGGATTAACTTCTTCAATCAAATTTTCTCCATTGTGATAGCATCGAGGGAGGGTGCTAGATTTATATCATTACTAGCGGATTGTGCTTTGCAGTTGGCAAGTGACAATGACAAGGTAAACAAGCAACATGCTACGAGTTTTCAACTATATCAGTTTCTATTTTTATCACTTTTGTCAGTCACAATTTCCTCCACTTAGTTATTATGGTTGCCAATTGTAATTCTCACTGGTTGCTAAGGAACAAATGGTGAATATGCATTCATGTAACTAAGCTCAAATTTCTTGGAAACAGTACTTAGTTGTTCTTATTGTGTGTCAATCTACATATTAAGCTTCGGCATGCTTGTGATAATTTTTTTTTTTTTTTTTTAAAGGTAATCAAATATTTTATTAATCAATGCATAATACACAAGAAGTGTACTATCAAGTTAAATCGGACAGTAACAACATGAAATTAGGCAGCCCATTTATATGTCTAGTAGCCTCAACATTAAACCAAGTATACAATGTAAAATAAAACAATTCCTTGATATACTCTATTGTCTGTGATTGGCCTTCAAAACAACGACTGTTCCTTTCCTTCCACACACCATACGATACAGCCCCGGAATAAGGTCCTATACAAGTTTACTATCTTTGTCTCGAAACTTTCTTCTTCATGCCTTTAACATGTCCTCCATACGCCTCGATAACACCCAATCCATGTGTTGCGACACCAGAATATCGTTCCACAGTAAACGAGCAACATCACAATGATGGAATAAGTGATCAATCGTCTCCCCATCCCTCTTACACATATAGCACCACTCTGTGACATAAAAACCCCTTATACGGAGGTTATCCATCGTTAACACCTGTCCTCTGACTACTATCCATAGTAAAAACGCCACACGTGGAGGCAGTTTACACTTCCAAACCATCTTCCAGGGGAATGAACTCTCCACTGGACCCAATAAGGATCTAAAATAAGTACGAACTGAAAAGATACCATCTCGTGTCGACCTCCATATGCTACAATCACCTTCTCCCGCCATGATATGTACCTCGTATAAAGATGTCAAAAGCATTGCGCATAATCATCTAATTCCCAGTCCTGCAAACCCCGGCCAAAAACAACGTTCCAACTGGAGCTCCCATTATGGATATCTAAGACATCATTCACCATGGCATACGACTCCAATGCAATACGGTACAAAGAAGGAAATAGCACCTTAAGCGGTTGATCTCCACACCAACAATCGTCTCAAAAGCTGATGGTATTTCCATTTCCCACTACAAAAGACAACTGATCCCGAAAGTCGCTTCACCCTCGCCGGATATACCGCCACAAACTCACCCCATAAGAGCCACGTCTCTCACCTGAGCACCATCCCCCTCCAAAACACCATATTTAGCCCCTATAATATCTCTCCAAAAACTCTCCCTCTTCACTCCAAATCGCCAAAAACCAAACTAGTATTAAACCATAAACAATTTGAAAATTCATAACACAACAATTTAAAGTGTAACTTGTAAACAAACACCAAAGAAATCAAGACTGGTGTTGGCTAATTGATGTCTATTATGTTTATAGTTGGGTTGAATAAAATTTATTTATAAATAATTGTAACTAATGTTATTTTTCATCATAGTTTTAGTTGGTGCTATTTCAAAAATAAGTTTTGTTTGTCTATCGCTTTTAATTTATTTATGTTTATAGTTTGGATTGATTTTGATTTATTACGACCGTAATAAATTTAATTTTTTCAAATCAACCTTAATCGTTAAAAAAACTAGTTTGAAATTTAGTGGGGGCTAGCTTTTGTGGGTTCAACCATTAAAAAAAAGCTTTTTTGCATATTTGACCTTTAAAAAATAGGATTTAAAATAGCGGAAATTATAGAAAGACGTTTTAAAGCACTACGTCTTGTCTACATGTTTGGATGGACTTGAAAGAGGTCGATGGAAGACACTAAAAGTCTAAGGAACAATGTGAGGAAACTAAGTCTAGAGCCTTCTATTAAAGAGGACATGTTGGAGCATTCTAGAGAGAAGTTTAGAATGATCAATAATAATAATGCAAGAGACGTAGATTATGACAAAATGTTGCTAAAATATTACTTTGTCGTAGAAAATTCTAATGCCTAATCATGATCTATGAATAGGACGAATCCTCATCATCCAGTCAAATGAGAGGTATAGCTATACAAGATTATGAGGGCTCATTAGTAAATCATCCAATGAGAGGTCCAAGTAAAGAGAATTAGAGAATACTACTTCTGAGACAATTGAGCCTTGTAAAGCCTTGTTTTAAATTAGAAACTTTTTAACACAAAAAGCATATTCTTCTTTGTTTTTTAAGCATATTGTATTGTAATACTAGATATTTTTAGATTTGATTTCTCGTGTTCAGAATATTTTCGAAGGTGCCATCTTCGGGGACAGATTGGGGAGCTGGGCTACAGAGAGCGTGGAAATACTAAGTCAACAACAACCCACCATTAACTCTTAGAGGCATGTGCAAGTGAGGCATAAACCTCAATCAGTTGAAGCTTACGCCTTCGAATCACGATTTTTTAAACCTTATATCATCAACCGAACGAACATAGAATTTCACCTCAATCTCCAGAAAAGGTAGGCACTTATGGAGAAACTTGGGAAGTAATCCTGCTCCAAGACCAATAACAATTGCTTTCACCTAGAAGAAAAGAAAGGCACCTTAAAATTGAATTCAAAAAAACAAGTGAAACAAACAAGCTATTAGTTAATGCATGTTTTGAAACATAAATAGATAACTTACAGTGCCATGAGCTGATGAAACCTTTTCCAAATATGAAGAAATCAACATCAATCCAGAAATAATTCCATTATGATATGAACTTGCCAAATAGTTATGATCAACTTTCAAATTGTTTTTAGATGCTGTGGCACATAACAGAAAAGATGTCACCATAATAAAGGATTTATTTAGGCATAAGTTAAATGATAAAATTTGTTTCTCGAGTGAAATTTTAACGGATAAAGATCAAAATTCAAGGCAGAATTAAAAGTTAACCAACAAGATTAGAGATCAAACTCTTACTAAGAGACTCTACTTCACGAGAACCAACCCTTTTCTGAATTCCTTTTCTCTTGGACTTAGAAGTTGAGTGCGTTCTTCTTTTCTCTATATCAATTTGAGTTTCAATCGATCCTTCTCTTAGTAGAAGAGCTTCAGATTGAACCAAACCCTCACTTCTTTGAAAAATAAGGCGGCGAAACATGACATCATTAAATGGAATGCGACGACTGAGATCATTGTCTAGCTTTTCATAGATCACATCATCCACAATAATTGAACCAGTCAAAGTGGATGTAGCCTAGAGAAAGAAATAAATAGAGATGAAAACTTACAATGTATATCTTGATGTAAAATTTTGCCAGGAAATACTACAAATTACATTTTCAAAATACTAAATCACAAGTCAACAAAGGTGTATTTATTTTTTTAACATGAAACACCACTTTCTTCCGAAGTCCCACTTACAAAGTGCATAATCAATTTGCCAACAGAAGAGACGAGCATTTCAGTGGAAATTCTACAAATTACGAGGTGTTTATTTGGACAAAAATATAAGTTGTTGAAATTATAATGTGATAAAAATGAGTTATAAATAAGTGTAATTGTAAGATCCTACGAAGTGTATTGTTAAAATTAGAATTTGACTTTTGACATTTAAATTATATAGAACTTATAATGAAATCCAAAAAGACATAAATTCGTATACTTTACCATCTGTTTTATTGATGGACTTTTAAAGGTTTAAGTACTCCTCTTAATATGATTGAATTTTAAGATAAAATCTCAAATTTTAATAATAACTGTATTTTGAAAACAGTTTTGTTACACTTAAATCTTTGTTGACAGTTTTGTTTACATCCCATGATGTAGCACATCATTTTTTGCCATTGATTTGAACAATACTTAAAACAATCAATGACCTCGATTTTTACTTATCATGAAATGTCAACCAAAATGTACAAGTTTCTTAAATCTTTTGAAAATTCAGTTGATTATGTATTTCTTCAACAATCAATTCAATTTATTTTGAGTTTCTGCGTCTTAAAATAATACTACAACTAGTTTAAATGCCACATATGCAAGTATACGAATTTTTAGAAATAAAAACTCAATTTATTTTGAATTTATTGATGTGAGCTATATCTTATATACAAATAAAAAATGTTGTAACTTTTGACGTTAGATTGCAAGAGGCATAAAATGAATAAGGTAAACTCAAATTTAATAATTAAAACAAAAGAGATCATATAAAGTAGAATTCTTGATTATTGAACAGATAGATC